AGGGGGGAGAGGGGGGAGAGAGAGACGGGGGGAGACAGAAAACGTCACCACGCACCCATCTCTGGAGGTGACACGCCACATGGCCTGGTGAGCTGTTGCTGCGAAGTGGAAGCTGTGGGAACATGTGCTGTCCCCAGGTGAGGGGACAGTCCTCCCTCCACAGCAGAGACCTCTGTGCGTAGGCGACAGAGCCTGGAGGGGACAGGGAGTCTCAGCGCCACTGAGGTCCACACGGAGCAGTTAGAGAAGAAAGAGAGCAGAGAGGGGAGGCCTCGCCACTGGCCAGGTCGGGAGGAGACTCGGGTCTGCTCCTCTTCCCCACTGCAGAACGATGAGCTGAGGTCAGGGCTTGTGCAGACAGACAAGACACACAGACCTACAGAGAGTCAGACCAAGGGACCATTTTAATTCCTACAAGGCCCCGTCACGTTTAGGGAAATTCAGCTCCAATGTATACAAATTAGACATTGGTAGTATGTACAAAAGTATTTTCTACATTTTTTTGAACAATACTAGCTATTTTATTTCCAGTAACAGGATGTTACAAAAACAGTCCAATAACGCATTTTCTATTAAGAAGCACATTACACAACATAATTCAATTTCATTAAAAAATAACTTCAAAATACAGACCAATCCCCTGTAGAAAAAAAAACTATTTCTGTAGTTCGCTTAGTAAACACACAAGTCCAACACTGCAGTAGGGCCTCCCTTTTCTGTGGAAAAACAGAGGCTTCCAGGGCCTCCCTTCTGGGATAAAGTCCCACCCACCCACAGCTGTGATGGGCAGAGCCACTGCCCGAGGTAGGCACAATTCTGAAGAGCCCTCCCCGCCACGTGGCAGTGCCCAGAACCTGTGGCTGTGATGAGAGGTCACTGCTGCTCTATGGCACAAGTGGCCTTAAGACAGGTCATCTCTGTGGCCTGATGTACTCATGTGGACCCTTAACACAGGAGGAGGCAGCGAGGCGAAGCATGAGCCACAGACTCCAAGGGCCGCTGCTGCTTTCGACATGAGCAGCCCACACAGACGGGTGCGCCCGCTGTGAAGAGGCGTCAGGAGAGGCCCTTGGCTGGTGAGCAGCAAGGCCACAACCCTGCCCATGACGCCATGAGCCCGGAAGCAGAGCCCTCCCAAGCCTTCGTCAAGAATGCTGCTGCCAGCCCCTGCCCTCGGCCTTGGAGACCCTGAGCAGAGAAGGTGCACACCTATCACGTGTGGCAGCAAGGCCGATACACTGCTGCGAGTCACTTATCACCCAGCGGGACCTGGCGGTCTCTGCGTAGCTGAGCGCCTCTGCCTCCACCAAGTGCTGTACTGAGACGGTGTCCTCGGCAGGCACCTTCTGACAACCTTTAATCACAGCCTGCTTCATGCTCACTATCAAGTCCTCATTTTTTACTTCATCCCGCTTTCTAATGTACTGCTGTCTACTGCCATGGCGGACAGCTGCCCACCAACCCTGTCCACAGACAGGGTCCTACAGGTGGCGGCTTCATGTCTTGCTTTTGGTGCTAAAGAATAAACCCAGAGAGCTCTACCCCTAGCCCCTAGATGACAACTGTAACACATCCACTGTCACCCTCGCATCCATCTGGGTGTCAGGTCCCCGAACTGAGAGGTCTTTGCTACTTCCCAGACACACCATGCAAAGGCTTAGGGCAGGAGGGCACGGACTTCAACACTGGACTTCTGACAGGAATTTCTCCTGCATAACTAGATTAAGTTGGCACTAAGGTGATTAAGTACACTTGGGGAAAAACCTCAAACTAAAGATTAAAAAAAAAAAAAAACACACCAGTTTTTACAGGTCAAGTTATTTTTGGAAGAACCACTCAAAGCCATGTACCAGGATCTCGGTGGCACCCTGGGTTCTGCCCTGGGTTTCCTGGGTCACACATGGCTTCATTCAGCTGGCGTGGAACTCAGCAGAAACAGGAGAGCAAGCTGGGTGGAGCAGCCTGCCTCTGATGTGGTATGCCCTTTCCTTGGAGGATTTAAACACAGAGCCCTGCGAAATGTCTCTGGGATGGTGGCAGTCAGAATTCCGGTGTTGCTTTTCAGATGTTCTTCAATCCACTCTTCCAGAAGCACATGTGCAGCAGACCACAGCAGGGAGGCCATGAAGCTCCTAGCATCAGTCTTACCTGCTCCAGGGGGACCCTGACCCATGTACATGCTTGAAAGAAGCCCCTCCCACATTCAAAGTGAAGACAGCTCGGAAGAAATCTTTTTCAGTGCCAGTGAATAAAAAAAAAACCAAAACAAACCCATCCTCTTTTGTGTAGCATTGAGAATAATGCCTAAAGAGGCACCAGAAGGCACCAAGGAAGCACCAAGGCATAAACTGGAGTGGAATGCTCTCTACCATCTAAACTTCTGTATTAAAAAGCACACACAACAGGCACTCCTTAGAGGCAGTATAGGAATTTACAATTAAGGCGACCGCCAGCCTGAAGCAATGCGGCCACGGGCAGCATGCTGACCACTTTCCCAAGCCCCTGCCTTATGCTCCTACTACCTCCAACATGAGCCTGGGTGGTGTGTCTGGAGAAGACCATGAGACTGGGAGACAAACACTTCCGCCTCTGGCGGTTCGCACAGCTCTCTGCTTGGCAGCAAGTATGCTAAAACCTGAAAAATGGGCAAAAAGAATCTGTATTCTAAGGAATATGTGAGATGGAGAGAAATTGTCTATCCAAAATAATATTGCAAATTGTACTTACATAAAGTTCACAATTTCTTGATTCAAGAAAATGAAAACTCCATAGTTGGCTACTGTAAAATACGGCATAAAAATATTTCTAGGAGACATGTCTGTATTTAAACTCTTCTACACACATACATGAAGGAGTGACAGTAAGAAGTGTCTATTTCTGAATTCACCTCTAAAATTGAAATAGAACAGACTATCATTCAGTTTCTGAAACTTTTAAGTTACCAGGTATTTACAAACAAGATGTAATTTGTATCAAAAAGGTTGTTTTCAACTGTATCTGCTGCTTTCACTGGGGCTCCGGTGATGAGAGTAACTTCGGTCACTTTCACTGTCAGAGCCGTACGATCTACAACTCCTGTGTAACAAAACAAAACAAAACAAAATGCACAGAAACCTCTTAACTCCCCACCCTCGGAATCCCTCCTAGTGTTTCCCTTCTGGTTGGAGTGGCTTCCAAACACTACTGACAGCACAGGGGTGGACGCTGGGCTCTGATTGTGGCAATGCCACTCACTTCTTGTTTGTTTTGTTTTTGAGACAAGATCTCGCTATGTAATTCAGGCTGGCCTTACACTCGACTACACAGCCCAGGCTGGCCTTGAACTCTGGCAATCCTCCTGCCTCAGTTTCTCCAGTGCTGCGATTACAGGCCTGCACCACCATGTCTGGTGAAGCCTCTCACTTCTCAAGGGTGTTTAAATGACAGGTGGTGAAAGTATCAGCGGTAAGATAAAGAAACCTCACACCTTGGGAAATTTTATTTGAAATACATCCATGCACATGAACAGAATAATTTTCCATGGTACCCAAAATGACACCCCAATATTGATCAGGTTGCCTGAGGAAATAAGAGGGAGATGTACATTTACTTTGGTTAAAGGTACGGAACTAAAATGGGCACCTAGCAAAGGTGGGAGAGCATCTGCACACAGACAAGACCATCAGAACACCGAGCCAAGAGGACATGGCTATGGTCACTCTTCAGTTAGCTTAGAAAAAAATTTAAGAAGAGCTAGCCACAGGGTGGGCATGGTGGCATATGCCTGTAATCCCAGCACTCAGGAGGCTGAGGCAGGAGGAGAGTTTTAAGCCAGCCTGGGCTACACATTGAGTTCAAAGTGTAGTTTATCATACTAAAGAGAGAAATAATTTTTTTCTGCATTGAAAAACAACAGAAAATTAACAAGTCTGACTGACTCAGATGGATCTTATTATGCCTGAATTGCATAGTGAAACCCTGTCTCAAAAAAAAAAAAAAAAAAAGCCAGTCATGGTAGCGACCAAACAAATGTTGACCAAGTATGGCCTACCAAGGGTCACAGATAGTATACAACAGCTGCCAAGAAAGGAAGTTGAGGCAATGAGGACTCCAGGGACACAGAAGCTACCTCCATGGCACTGGGAGGGAGAACATTTCAGGACTGGCAGGCAGGCAGGACTGGCAGGCAGGGAGGCATTTAAGCAGTGGGCTACAGCAGAGACTTCAGGGTAGGTGGGAACTGGTCATTTCACGAAGCAAAGAAGAGACATGGAAACGGCATCCACACCTCTGGGAAGAAGGAAAGGGTCAGAATCGCAGCTGCAGCGCGTGAGAGAATGGCCCTGTAGGCAGTGCCAAGGACCTGGACCTGCCATATGCCCCATCGGAGTGCCCAGGTCACACGAGAGGAGCACTGCAGGCACCGGGATTGGGGCAGGAAGGCCAGAAGCCACCAGAAAAGGGTATTTCAAACGTTATCACAGACCTGCAGTAGCCAAAATGTTACACAGAACACAATATGCAGAATACATAAAAATTATTTTACTAAATTGACAAGAGAGAAACCTCAATCTTGCCATGAAGCCAATGGCTATGACATGTCTTGTATTACTTTTTTTTCTTATTTAAAAACTGGCAACTTGGCTACTGCAATCGAGGACCCTGACTTTAGGAAGTGGCTGCAATGTAGTGCCTTCTCTCCTTCATCCCTTCTAAAGAAGTGTATGTTCGATAATCCACAAATATTTAAAGCTCACTTGAAATCAAACACAAACAAAATCCAGCACACTTTACCTGGCAACTCTTAATCCCAAAGCCACTGTCATAGCTGCCTGCAGTCACTAACATGCAGGAAGACAGGGTTTCTGTCCTCGGAAGGCTGTGCTTTCTCCCCACTACCGGTCAGTGCCTGGTGCACTGAGTGCCCAGAGCAACTCGAGTGATCCAAAACGAGGGGTCCTTAGCCAGGCATGATGGCACACATCTATAACCCCAGCCCATGGAAGGATGACTGTGAGTTCAAAGCCAACCTGGGCCACACAGCAAGACCCCACACAAAGAAACAGGCGCCCCCATCCCACAAAACAGAAACAGAAGGACCCACCTGGACCATCTGTTGTAACTTCTGCCTCGGTGGTAACTGTCACTCCTTTGGCTTCGACTCCGGCTCCGACTCCTGCTGTAGTAGCTGTCGTAAGTGTAGGACCTGCTTTAACAGCAACATCACACATTCAATTTTCCCATTCAAAAACTCCAATTCCCATTTTTTAGCTTGGAACATGGGCACTTAATGACAGTATGAAGACACAGGTGCATAACAAGTACCACGAACATTTAGCAACTACCCATCAGACTTATCATACTAAAAAGAAAAACATTGATTTTTTTCTGCATTGAAAAACAACCAAAAACTAAAAACGAGTCTGACTGACTCAGATGAATCTTATTAAGCAATTATATTTAACAAACACCTGCTGGCACAATTTGCCACAGTCATTTTCCCATCAGAATAAAATAGGCCAAAAGATAGAAACTCAGAAAGATCTCATTTAGAAAGAGTATGATTTGAGGAGACAAAAATACATGGAAGTTATTAGAGAAAAAATGCCACATGGTAGGGCCAGTGGCTGAGTACAGGTGCAGGGCCCAAGCCCCAGCACCCACGACGCGATACCATGCCCACTCGCCCCGGGAAGGGTCTCTGCCTTCTGCTCTGGGCAGGACGCACACCCTGTCCTACCTGGACCGGCTGCGGGCGTCGTACGAGCTGCTCCTGGATCTGCTCCTGCTGGATGTCCTGTGGGACCACAGGGAGGACATCATCTTGGGGACAGGTGGCCAGGCTCATCAGAGTCTAGACTAGGTCTCAGCCATCCAGTGGCTCCTTGGAACTCTACTCTCCTATCCAAAGTCCGCTCGATGTCCTAAAACCCCACCGGATTTCATAAGAAAGATGAAAGTTTGTGCCATCCTCACAAGCCATGCATGAGACAGTCACTGGGGAGGCTTCTGACCCAGGCAGGCGGGAGCCAGGGCCCCACACAGGGGACAGCAGTGAGTAGAGTGAAGCCACAGCCTCCAGGACACTCAGCATCCCAGACAGGAGCAGCAGGGAGCAGAACATAAACACCCCTTCCTCCAGGTCCCCTGTGGTGCTCCTGTTGCTGCTCCCTAACCAGGCTAGGGTGACTAGCAGGCCCTGCCTAAAATGTACTTGGGCTGAAGAGGGCACAGCAGGCCTCTGCCCACTCTGACAAGATCCCACCGAAGAGTGGCCAGGAGGAGTGGCCCTGGGCCCTGCAAGCCCACCTGTGGCTGTCATAGCTTCGGTAGGAGCGGCTGCGGCTGCGGCCTCGGCTCTGCCATCCTCGGCTCCTGCTTCTGGAGTAGCTTCTTGATCTGTGAAGAGAGTGTGCAAAAACACCAGCATGTCAGTCACCCTGCCCCACTCGCACCATGAATTATGGGCCAGAAAGCAGCCAAGGGAAGGCCTCCCAGCCTCTCTGCAGTGGCTGTGGCACTGGCACTGCTAATGTGGCAATCCAGAAACTCAAAGTCAGCAGAACAGAGTAGACAAAAGCCACCATCAAGGCACAGCAATGGCTACACAGCTCCAGCTCCAACCCAGAACGAGGAAAGATCCAACTGCAGAAGTGAAGCCCAGGTCCAGACACAGCGCTGAGTGAGAAAGGCCGAGGACAGCATCTTCACGTGGAAAGGCTTTTGTTTACAAAAGGTCTCAGAAATGCTAAAGTAAGACCATCTACAGACAGAAAGGTTTCTAGAAGGAAGACCAGCAAACTTATAATCAAGTTTCCAATAATGGTTAATTCTAGGAGAGCAGAGAGTAAGTTGGGTGGTACTAGTGCACCAGAGCTCCACTTTTTAAGCTAGACAACAGGTACAAAAAGATCCATTGTTATTTTTGTACTTTAAATCATTTATCTTTGGCACCTACCAATAATCAGGCAACTGACTTCTCTTTCACTAACAGCAGTAGTTTCTTAAATTAAGCCCAGATCTCTTCCCCTGAAATCCCCACTGCCTATGCCCCCAGTCTCACCAGATATCTGGGGATGATAATCTTGTCCTTAACTCTGATACTTTGCCAAGCTAACAAGGAACAGACGCCCCTTGGGGAAATAAAAGGCAAGTGAAACTGCTTACCTATACGATGACGTGGAAGTTCTTGAGCAACTTCTAGAGCGACTGTAGGAGATGGACCTGGTTCTGTGCCTGGATTTGGTTTCAGATTTACTGCGAGATCTACTTGGACTCCTGGACTGACTGTCACCATCCCGACTAGGTGTCTGCTCATCACTTGAACTTTCCTGATTTCTTGGTCTCCGGTTTAGGCGTGCTGTCTTCCTTACTTCATCAAAGAGTGACCCAGGCCGAACTTTGTTTTTGCTTTTTATTTCTATCCTTAAACCTTGGGGTTTCATCTCGGGTATAACTGTCAGGGCTTTCGCCTCCACAGCACTGGATGTGGAAGTAGGCAGGGCCCACAGGTTTCCCACACCCTGCAGGGGCTTCCACTTGTTATCTGAGAGGCTGCCCTGGCTCTTTCCAGCCGCTTCCTTGCCAGCATCTTCACTGGCGCTGGCCACGCTGCTGTCCTGCTTCCCGCCTTCTCCCGCCGTTTTGCTTTCAGACGTGCTGCTTTCCTGTCTCGATCCATCCGCTTCAGGAGCTTCCATGTGCAGGTCTGGTTTCACAACACTCATCTGTGGGGTGCTTAGCCTTGAACTGGCCAGAAGGGACGTCCCCTCTCCCTTGGCTGGTGAGCTCCTCTCAGGGGTGCAGATCTCCATGTTATCATCTGTCTGAAGCACATCCTCTGCTCCGCTTGGAGCCCTTTCTCCATGCTGCGTGTTTTGGGGCAAATTGGCCCCCTCGTTCTCAGGATCTAAAGCAGTGGGACAAGTCCCAGGCTTACTGTCACCTTCGGGAAGCTGATCAAGGGCTGACGAAGCAGTCACTGTGCTGTGCTGACCTGAGAGCCTGCCCTCGTCACAAGCTCTCTCAGTGTGGGGAGAAGCATTTTTCACCGTTTCACTGTTTTCAGAAAGTTCTTTTTTTTCTTTTGACTCTTGAGTGACTTGCTTTTCGTCAATCTCCTCTTCCTCCTCCTCCTCTCCAAACTCTAGTGGAGGCTGCCAGTGAAATGCTTGCTTTCGTTTTGGAGGCTTGTGCTTTTTGTCTTTTTTCCCTTTCCCTTTCTCCTTTACTTTCTTGGTATGATCTCTTTTAAGACTTTCCTTTGATGAACGTTTGTGTTTCCGTGGCTTTCCTCTGTTGTTTTCTGAGTTAGAGTCTGACCCCTCAGAAGCAGAAGTTGAGGGCTGCTGTTTACTGGATTTCCAGGCACCATTGTCCGGCAGTGACGCATTCAATGGAGATTTAGTCTTGGGTTTGGCTTTGATGTGAATTGCACTAACCTCCGATTCAGAATCTGAGGTGGCTTCCCCTTCCTCCTTATCAGAAGACCTGCGGGAATGTTTTTTACTGTTTTTCATTACATCTCGTTCTGAATTTGACTCAGAGTCCCATTTACTCCCGGCATAATTTTTCCTTTTGGGCTTACTGCCATCTCTGAAGTGATCAGAAAGATTCTCTTTGGAATTTTTTTTTTTTGAATGTGAGCATTCCCGTTCAGGCTTGCATTTCTCCGCATCTCTGCCTTTCTCCTGTTTATTATTCATTATTTCCATTCTGCCCTGCTTCCCTTTTTCCTGGGCCGAATGTGTGACCTGAACACTTGCCGGCTCATTGTCTGAAGAAGAATCTGCAGATGACCGGTTCACACTACGCCGCCTTCTCCTATGTGAAGACATGTCTTTACCTTTGACACGTTTACGACGTGGTGTCTTCTCAGAGCTGCTGCTGTGCCGTTTATGGGAAGTGCTACTTTTTCTCCCACTGGATCTCAGTGTCCTCCTGGCCCATCTCTCCTCAGCACTGCTAACAGAAGTGTAGGAAGATGACCTACTGCACTGTGAACGATCGCTGTACTTACCTCGTGAACGAGATCTAGACGATGGAGACTTAGACCTTGACTGTGAACTAGCACGACTATGCGACCTGGTATACGATCGAGAGTAAGATCTGCTCCTAGAAGACCTGCTCCCTGACCTTGGGGAACTTTCAGAACTTCTATCACTATATTTTGAATTAGCACTCCGATCACTTTCTGAATTTTTTCCTCTTTTATGGTAGGATGATGAACTACCAATCTCTCTGACATTTGCTACACTGTAAGTACTTTGGATGGGCAGCAAATGAGTTGTTTTAGCTTTCATTTCCTGAATTCGCTCATAGGAGGGCTTCCAGGGCTTCTGTCCAGGCTTCCACCTTGAAGGGGGGGGGCTATCACTCAGTGGTATTACCGGAATATTTTCTGTTACCACTGGCTGCACTACTACATTTTCATTTTGTGGCACTGTTGCTCTTAAAGATTCTGTTTTAACTGGTTTATTTTCACTCAACTGAGAGGCTGTTCCTCTTGGTGATTTTGATGCTGTCCTTCGGTGCCCTGACTTGGAACTCGATCTAGACTTGGATCTACTCTGAGAATGTGATGAGGATTTTGATGCAGTCCTTGATCTGGAGCTCCCTCTAGAATAGGACCGAGAGGGAGACTTTGACCTGTAGGAGTCCCTGCTGGAATGCGTTGAAGAGCTCTGCTCATCCTTGTCAGATTTGGACCAGTCCCTCTTTGATGAGCGATGGGATGAGGAGGAGGAAGAGCGAGACCTCCTTTCTCTATCACAAGAGGACTTCATCTGTCTAGGGGAAGATTTTGAAGATTCTATGTCAGATAGTACAACAACTCTTCTCTTCTTAGGCTGTTTGTGTCTTCTGTAGTGTTTCTGCTTTTTGGCTTTCTTTTTATGCTTAACCTTTTTTTCCTTTCTGCGTTTTTTACGGTGACCATCAGAGTGTCTTGCTGTACTAAGGTCTGAGTAATAGCCACTATAGGACCATGACCTAGATCTCTGTGACAAGCTTCTCTCATCCCATCGGCTTGAAGAGGGGTCACTTAACCTACAGACAAGGACATAATGTGAAGTTACTGGGAAGCATGCTTTCTGTACCTTGAAACAGTTCCTGCTGAAAACAAAATCAAAACTTGAAGCACAGCTAAGAAGCCTGAATCAAGAGAGTCAGAGGCCTGGTCTTGATCTTATACTTTCAGAGACAAATAGTAATAACTAGTAGTAGATTCACTTCCAAAAGGCTTTTTGTTTTATAAGCTAAGAAAGGAATTTCCAATTTGATAGGGAAATATGGAAAACAAACTAACTCATCATAAGAGCACTGCTGATATGCTGAATTCCTGGCTGGAATCTGCTCATAGCCCTTTTCTTCCAGAAGCAGTTTTCAAGGGAGGTCAAAGCAAGTTCCCCCAACATTATTCTGTTGTATTTTTTATGGTGCTGGAGATTAAACCCAGGGTCTCACAAATGCTAAGCAAATGTTTTACCTGAGCCACACATTCAGTCCTTGCCTGAAATGTTAAGATTAGCCTCTGTTCTGAAGAGGCTATTATGACTTGTTTTCCATCCTCCTCACAGAGGTAATCAAGGTTTGCCTCTAAACTACTTAAAAGAGAAACTGAGGGAAAATGACATGAACACTGATGCAGGCAACACCAGGGCTCAAATCAAGACTCCTCAGCACCACTGTGTATCAGCTACTCCCACCCAGCAGACACATGTCTTTCTTCCCTCTCCCCATGTCCAGCCACTCTGTGAGACACCTGCAGAGAAAATGAGAATTCTTCCATAAAGAATTTTATCGGGCTAGCTTGGTATATTTTCCACTGGCTATCCTGGGACCAACCCCATTTCTAGAGCAGACACTCACTGTGAGGTATTACTGGGGGTAAGAGCCAGGTGCCCTTCTGAAGAAGCAACAGCCTGAGGACACATACCAAGGACAAGTTTTCCTATCTGCCTATTAATTTACCAGTGATGACTCATGGCTAGTAAAGAATCTGCTGCAGTATATGATTTTAAAGTCTTGATTACTTCTAAAACTGAGTACGAGCTCTTCAAAACATTCAGTAGAGGGAAAACAATTTTGAAAGCCCCCAAAGCCATCTGTCTTACCTAGTTAAGAGTACTACTTTCACCAAGTATCCCCAATGTGTTCCCCTTGGTCACAACCTAATTCCGACTGTAAACCTTTAATGAAAAGTGCAAGATTATGCTATATTCCCTTAACACTCAGGCCATCTGACACTGCTCGGTGCCTCCCTCCCAGCTCTCTCACTTGTCTCCTTTACTCCACTTCTCTCCACTTGGTGGTCGGTACGCTCTCAGCCTCTGCATCTCCTCCTTCCAATGAGGAGGAGTTTCACTGCTGTCATCGTTCTCAGACTCTGAGCAGGATCTTGACCGTGGAGGTGTGTGATAGCGCTGTACACACAAAGGAAACAGTAACTTTAAAAACACCTCCCATAACTAAGAAATATACAACTAATTTCCCACAACAAATTTCTATTTTACCTAAGATCAAATCTAAGATTTTACTAACCGGTTAAAAAAAAGTCACTTTTAAGTAATTTGCAAAAGGGAAAGTCTTAACACACATACAATGGTACCCCTTCCTTTAATCTTCCGTCCAGACTTTGACACAGATGGTTTCTGATCACTTACAGCAGGTGCAACATCTGGAATCTTTCTAGAAAAGAAGTTGAGATGAAAATTTTAAATCAGCAAGTATCAGGTAGTTTTCCCAATCTTTAAATGGAAAATTTAAGTTCCTACTATGCAAAAACCAGCTTCAAAATATTTCCTGACATGAAGACTACTTGAAATTCAAGTTTCAATTTCTGTAAATCAGGTTTTATAGACACACAGCCACCTCTATCTGCTCACACATTTCTTGGGTTGTCTGCATGTGGTGATCCCCTGCTTTACATTGCTTGGGGCACTAGAAATCACAGCAGTATTGTTACAATCTGCCAGCATTCAAGCAAAACTCGAGTCACTCATCTGGCACAGGAGTAAATCTTCAGACATGATGTACGTGAAATCACAGTGCAGGGCAACATTATCAGACGTACAGCATCAACATGGTATTTTACGAGAGAACACAAACTCTGAACTCTTAAGCAAACTTAAATGGAATGTCATTCTTCTTATTAGTAGACCTATATTAAAAAGATGATACTCAATTTTTATTATACTTTGCATCTTGTTGATAAAACATCTGTAGAGGGCTAGGGGTATTGCAGTTCGAGCCCAGCTCATGGACAACTTAGATCCTGCTTCAAAAAAATTTAACATGCCTGTAATCCCAGCACTCTGGAGACTGAGGCAGGAGGATCGTTGCGAGTTTGAGACCAGCCTGAGCTACAAAGTGAGCTCAAGGTCAGCCTGAACTGCACAGTGAAACCTTGCCTCAAAAAAAATAAAAAAAAACAAAAAAAGGGGGGCTGGGCAGTATAGCTCGGCACAAAAGCTCAAGATTCACACTCCATTACCACTCCCCCCCAAAATTATCCTGATTCAGGATCTTGCCCAGGTTGGCACTAAAGTTATGATCCTCCTACCTCAGCCTCTCAGGAAGTTAGGATTACAGGCATGTACCAGTGTAACCAGCTAAATAGCATTTTTTGAGAGCAAATCGAAAGTCACACACTAGCTTTTACAAACCAGAGAAGTTTCACTGAGCAAGTTAACACTAGTAACATTAATGATACTAAGTATCTCCAATCAGCATGCAATTAATTTTGTACAATCAAAACTGGAACCTCTGTTTCATCCCTCAAATGGATTCCAGAAGTTCAAGTAGCCCTCTATCTGATAACCAAATGCTCAGTGCTTTAATGAAAGGCCTGTGTAGGAAGGTCAGTAAAGAAATCACCTCAGACCTCCCATAAGACTCTCTCGCCTGACCAATTTGCCTGACATCCTTTCCTTACTGCTATAGTCAAATTCATATTTTAAAAGGCAAGGTACTGCTAGTCATTAATCTGGTATCTCCTGCAGAGCCTTTCAGAGTGCTCTGAACATAGGCCTTATCCAATAAATGAATATGAAATTGCAATGAACTGATGGAGAGTTTCTATTAGAGAAATGAAAGTATACTGATTCATCACCCTACTTACGGCTCAGGTTCCACTGGGACGACAGGCATATCTCTCCTCAGTAAAAATCGATTCTCAGGCACTGGAGGAATCTCCTCTGGACGGACAACAGGCTTTTCCCTTTTAGCATTTGAATCCACTGGTCTCTTTTCATTGGTATCACTCCTCTCAGAGTGACTTTAAAAGAACAAACCAAGACAGCAGTTGAGATGTGTACTGCTGCTATGTTTCATAATAATAAAAGCATATAACACTTGACACTAAAATAACAGCAAAACTATTGACAGCTTACAAGTCTCACTCAAAACGATTTAATGATTTCCTCACAAAGAACAAAAAAATCAGCACAGAATACTAAAATGTTGATATGAAAATTATCATGATCCTAACTTTTTCTCTTTAAATTTCGGAGGTTATTTTCACCTAAAAACACACAAAACTTTGATATGAAATGTCTATGCTACTCCTAGATTTGCCAAATTTCAGTTTGGATAAGGACCAAAAATGCCAGCCTTGTCACCTGTAGGTAATGAAACTGAGAGTCTCTACAGTCCTAGGCACCTCTCCCATGAGTGTGTGTGTGTGTGTGCGCGCACGCGCGCGCGGAAATATAGCCTCAGGGTTTTTGCACTTACACTTTTGGACTCACAAGGCGTTTACTTCGTGGTTCTTCTGAACTGCTTACTTCCTTTCGTCTCCTTTTAGAATGTTTAGCTTTTGGCCTCCTCTTATGTTTCCTTCTCCTGCTTCTTTCATGTTCAATTTCACTTTCTGAAGATGATTCTGAAGAGGAAGAGGAACTGGAAGAGGAATCTGAGTCTTCTGAATGTATTGGTTTCTTCCTTTTTTTCTCAACAACTTTTAATAAATATTAACAAAAATATTAGTACTAGATTCCAGTGCCCACATTTCAGACTAAACAATGTGATGACTGAGTATCACAAAATAGGCTTTATGTATAGCAAACTAAAAATGTAATTTAAATAAACTCTCTTTGGAAGTTGATAAAACTATTGCTTTGCAAGACTATGCAGAAGGCGTGCATTCTAAGTGGGTCACATGATAGGAAAATAAGTAACTATATAAGATGACAAATGATACGTGCTCAGATGGAAAAGTAAATCATAAGAGCAATGCAGGGCTGGGGATATAGCTCAGAGGCACAACCACCTGCTTGGCAAGCGCAAGGGTCTTGAGTTCATTTCCTGGTACAAAAAAGAAGGGGGACTATGGAGGCAAGAGGATCACTGTGAGTTCGAAGCCAGCCTGGGCTACATAAGTGAGCTCAAGGCCAGCCTGAACTGCATAGTGAAACACTATCTCAAAAAAAAAAACAAAACAAAACAAAACAAGAAGATAGCAATGCAGAGGGAGTAGGGAGAGGGGAATAGTTTCAGATCACATGTGCCAGAGCCCTGAAGGAAGGAGGGAGGAAGGGGTCATGCAGAGACAAGGGTTCTAGAGGAAGAGAAGAGCATCACAAGACCCCTGGGTAGCACATGGTCACCATGCTGGGAGGCAGAGCAGGAAGAGGGGAAAAGGTCAGAGAGCTAGACTATCTAGGGCCTCCTAGACTGCCACACAGACTTTCGCTCTGGCTAAGAAGGGAGCTTTCTTCTGTGCAAGAAGGGCACAGACAAGGGATCACCGGGTCCCTGTAAGAGCACAAACCACATGAGTCCACAGACGTAAGCAAGGAGATCAGGTGAAACATTCCTCCTGAGAAAAGATGAGAGAAGAGCAAGGGGACTGAGACAAGGTGAAGAGCCACGAGGTCACTGCACAGTCCAGGCACAAGACATTAATGGCGCAGTTCAGGCTGACAGCAAGGAGGAGTAAGATGAAAGGTTGGAGATCTGTTGACTGAGTGGATGCAGGTGCTGAGGCAGAGACATCAAGCACTATCTTTATACCCCTATAGGCCCTTTTCTACCACTGCAATCTAGGAGGTATTTCTACTTCTTCAATAATGTTTTACCTACATCCTAGTCTCCTCCACCCTCAAAAAGGTCTTACCATCTTTTGTTGATTTCGTGGCAAGCACCCCGCAGTCAATAACTCGCACGTCTGCGTAAGGTCTGCTCGCGGCATCAGTTTTCAGATTTTCTATTTGCTCGATTACTTCAAAGCCAGAGATAACCAGTCCAAAGACAACATGAACCCTGTCACAATACAAATTCAGGTAAGAAATGGCTAATAAGCTATAAATAGTATCCAAGAAAACAATTATAAATGATATATCAACAGACCACAAAATAAAACCAAAGTGTTAGATGTATGAAGCAATTAGAAGGGAACAAAAACTTCAAATCTGTTTCACATAAGCAAACGTTTGGGCCCCAGTGAAACCAGGCCTGAACTTTTTTGCCTTTCTAAAAATGTGGTTTTTGTTTGTTTGTTTTTGTCTTTTTGAGACAGGGTCTCGCTATGCAGCTCAGGTTGGCCTTGAGCTCACTTTGTAGCCCAGGCTGGTCTCAAACTCACAACGATCCTCTTGCTTCAGCCTCCTGAGTGCTGCCATTAAAGGCGTGCACCACCATGCCTCGTTAAAAATGTTTTTTAACTGTTTCACAGCGAAGAGTCTGAAAACAGGCTGTTCTTGGTAGTGAGAAACTGCCTTTATAGCTACACTCAGGACTGTGGAGCTGGAAAGCCCACCCGCGGCCACAGACAGACCCTTTCAGTGACATCAGAGCCCTGTGATCTCAAAGCCACATTTGTGATCTTTCAGGAAGAATGGGGCCATGAGAGATTAACCCAGACATCAACAAGAGTAACCAGTTAAGTGTTTAAGCTGGCCACACTAACAACTTCCCTAGTTAAGAAGAATACAGTTCTTACCCATCCAGGTGTGGAGCAGGTTTTGTAGTACTGTGTGATAAACGTCAATACAAAGATGAGGTCAAACACGCACATTCGGGTGAAGAAAGTGCAAGGGTTTAAACACAGCATGTGGAGGACAAAGAAGTAAAGATAAAAAGATAGGGAAAAAGTTAACACAATATACAGCTAACATTAAAGACACCCATACAGTAATAGTAGCCATTTTACTAATTAAAAAGTCAAGATTATAATGAATTACAAAATATCTCTATTAGACAATATGCATATAGAATACACAAAACAGTTTTTATCTCAGGTACAGCCATATATAACAAATATGCATTAAAATTAAAGTTACTTTCAAATCTAAAACAACAAAAACCACATGTAAAAGAACTCAGAATTTGTCAACATAAACAAGGAAAACCATCTGTCATTTGCCCATGGGAAGGGACATGTACAGGGGTAATCTGCCCACACACTGAGTGAGCTCTCCTATCTGTCACTTCTCACACTGAGTTGGCCTGCAGCTTTTAGGCAGGCAAATGAAGCAAGGCCTCGGCAATCCTGTTCCCACAACTTTCCGCGTGCACAACCATGCCTGGCTAAAAATGTTTTTTAACTGTTTCACAGCGAAGGGTCTGAAAACAGACTCTTCTGTTCACTCAAAGTGCAATTCTGCCACTAACTGCAACTCTCAAAATCTGATGAGGGTTTCCCTTCAATCCTTCTGACAGCAAAGTGACATGGGTAACATTAGAGGCATCTTAGGGTCCCACGGCCCAGAAAACACTCAGCTAGTTTCTTCTATAATCCCCAACTGTCACAGAGTCATTCTTGGAAGTCTATGGAGGTACATCTGATTAACATACTTTCAACCCTAGCTGATGCTCCCACACCATTTTCACAGATCTTCACACTACATGAATGGGAGTATAAAAATCCAAAGGCAGACAATTACAATTGTACAACACAAGCATCTTAGCTTATAAGAATAAAGAGTAGGTTTGAGAGAGAGAGAGAGAAGGTCACTAGGTATTAGAGTATGTTGAGGCAGCAAATTCTATCAGAAGCCCCCATATACATTTTTATGTTCATCTGAAGGGAATTCTAAGACATATATGGCCATAAAACACAATTTTAACCTTCACAACAACGCTAAAAATCTTTACAAAAATTGTAATACTTATACTTACATTAAGAATATTCACTTCTGTAAGACAACTATAGTATTTAATTTAAAAATTAAAATATCAAGAAAATTCAGAAATGTAAAGAAAATTTTGAGTTTTAAAACCACAAATCTTAAATATTCCTTAGAAGTCTGAGAAGTAGAGATTCAAGCCAGTGTAACTATAAAAATGAAAACAAGCAACAAAAAGAAAAAGACAAAATCTAGCAAATTGGTGACCACCAAATGCTGAAACCATTATACCGGCATCCAGAAACCACTGTGGACAGCAACCTCAAAACAGATAATGTGCTTCTCACAGTCCTAAACCTTTACCAAAGCACAGTGAAAATAACAAGAAACCAGTACATCAGCTAGAGACAGATTCCACTGCACGAAGGAGGTAAAGAGTGCATTTGAAAAGGCCGAAATTCCCACTGTGTACAGGATCCGTGTCAGACGTGTGTGTGGACACAGGGAGTGGTGCTCGGCTCAGGTCCACTCCACCCCCAAGCCTCCTCGCTCAGCTCCATAGGGCCTAGCACCAGGAGAAGCCCGCACACAAACCCACTGGGCTATGCCTACAGCCCCAAATTTTGTTTTTAATTCAAATAAAAACTTGAGAATAAGCAGACTTGATCCTTGATTGCAGGAGTAAAAGAAAATGAAGATAGAACCAACTCTTTCTTTTCACCTGCCCAGACTAACTAAATGGATGTGAATAATTCATCTGTGACTGCAATTCAGGATGATACAGAAATATAAATTAGTATTTAAGTTGAGTTAGAGTACATATTAATAATACTGAAAACATTTAAGAAGAAGCCCTCTGGGAGTAGAAATCCCAATGTAAAGCAGGCTTACTGGTACTGGGCTGACAGTCTACATGGATAAATAAAGAACATTAGCAAAATTATAAAAAGAGGGTAACAAAAAGGTAGAGGGAATGATTTTCTCAGTCTCATGACTAAACTGGGCAAAGATAGTCCATGGCACTCTTAGAAGTATTCATCTTTCAAAACTATGCAGCTCTTTAAAGAACTATGCAGTAGCGACAGATACTTGGGAAATAAGACCTTACAAAGGCCAGAAACTATCATAAATGTGTACATTTCAATACAGTTATTTAAAAAAACACCTAAGTGAGAAACAACTAAAGAACATTTTAAACTCCTGCTATATTTACACATTTCTATTTTTTCCTGTTACTTAGAGACACTGATTTGAACCTACTTTAAAAATACATGAGTGAGGGTTCACTTAAACTTTATAAATCCTAGAAACTGAAAAGTGGTACTGTTATCCCAAAAACAACCTAAATTTTCTATATCATTAGTAGAGACACTTTTGGCCTTATGCAGAAATTACTAGTTTCACACTGTAATAAGATCTAAAACCATAATATAAAATATAATCCCACTCTCCCAACGTAAGATTGTAGAAAGAATTTAGTGCAAACAAGCCACTGAAATTAAGATACACTTCTCAGGATTAACCACAACAATAAAACACACTTGCTGTACATGTATTGCTGCTATACAAAACAAGCACAAAGCTGTTTTTCTTAAAACGTTTCAATGCATTATAATGACAGAATTAAAGAGAAAAAGGCAAAGAAAGAAAAAGAGCCTTAGAGTAATGAGACATTACCTTTGGAGCGCACGGTGTAACACTCTTTCTGTAAATTTTACACAAAAATGGCAAGAAATAAATTGTAATACACTTTTAACACAAGACTGAATCTATGTTTTAATATCAATATAACTTTGAAATTAAATATTTTAGAGTTTTATGCAAAGCGAGAAAGCTTTTCAAAATGGAGGGCTCTAAATTTTCTTTCACAAAAGATACTTATGTAGAGATGAAACATGCTTAAGAAAAGCCTTACTGTAGTTGAAATAAGAATCTGCTCAGATCCTTAATATTCTAACACAGGATGCCAACAATAGCTAGTAACGAAACATTATGCTTCCTTTCACAAATCCCAGAAACTAGCTAAGAAGACTAACACAAAAAATCTGAATGCCCAAGAGCAGTTACAGTTCTACTAGTCAAAAGTAAAACCTTCAATGGAAAAAGACTGAGTAAGGATAATTCAAAACAAACTTTCAAGGAACTTTTTACTAATTCCCTTCACCTAGTTAAAGAACCTTTCACACCTCTACATTTGAGACTTTTTTTTTTCAGCCACACATCAAAACAGACCATTTTCAGGAGTTAATGAGTAAATGTTTGAACTGCAGTTACTGTTTATACCTATAATACACACTTTGAAGTTTGTAAGTCACTAAACATAATAATAAAGGAATAATAAAGTAGCATAACTGGAATTTTAGGGATTTTTCTCAGAGGACAAAAGGGCAAGAGAAATGAAAGTATGAATGTGCTGTCAAAACTTGGCCACCATGTTTTCTTTTCCTGTCTGATTTTCCCCATTATAAAGATTTTTCTTCAAAGAACACACTGATCAATTTTAACTGATTAAATCTAAAACAGTATTACTCAGACCAGAAGCCCTACTATAACATGGACAAAATGCTTGATAGAGGTTTTGGACACACTAAATCTTAAAATATTTAAAAATAAGCATTAACTTCTTGTAAAGGAAATGATAAACGGCAAAAGAGAAGTACGTTTGAAATAAGGTACAGTTTTCAATAAATTACAAAGTACTCTAGAGTAAAACAGTACAACAGAAGAAGCTAAAGATAACCTGCCTTGTCTCAGCCTTTGACATGCAGTCCTTTTGCTCAGCTGCTAACCCTCACCACAGTCAAGGAAGGGGCTCCAAGCTGCACACAGTGACACAGCTCCTATTCGAGCAACCAGCTCCTATTTTTCACCCAGCAGTCACATGCTCTGCTTATGTATTCAACCAACACAGAAGAGCCAATGTCACTAGAAACAAAAGTTCTTCCATGTTGCTCATACCTATGTCATATAAGCACCAAGTAACATTAAGCTTGGACGTTAGGGATGACAAGATCTGCGAGAGGTTGCTCATGGTTAAGTGTCACAAATATGTCTGCTCATGAAAAACCCTGAAATTAACACACAAAGGTTTTTAACCATCCCCTCCAAAAATGGGAGGAATGAAAAAACTCCACTCAAATTTATGAATGTGGGTGGAAAAAGCATTTCTACCCCCGATCTACTTTTGCTATCTCAGATGTCAACAACACAGCTTCATAAGTCCCTTCAAACCACCACCTTCTCTAACACTGCAGTGAGGAGTATCTGCTCACTGATCTGCGCAGCCACTTGCAAGTCTAACTCCTCAGGGGAAGAAGATAGTTTTGCAACGTTCCATGTCTGCACCCAGCCTCTGCCCTATTCAGGACTGTTAGAAGCCGACATGGGGCTGGGGTGTAGCACAGCACTAAGTACGTGCTTAGCCTGCACAAGGCCCTGGGCTTATCCCCAACACTATGCCCCCATCAAAACATTTGTTTGTGACAAGGTCTTTCTATATAGCCAAGGCTGGCCTAGAACTTGTGGTCCTCCTGCCTCAGTCTCCTGAGTGCCAGGACTACGAGTGTATATAGGTTATTGTGACCATGACAGTGGCCAGGGACAAGGATTGTTCTGAGACCAGTTGCCCTCCATAAGCCGCCTCTCACCCTGGTGGCAATCAGCTCACAGTTAGCAAGTCCTTCAGGCAGGACATTGTCTGCATAAGAATCACTCTTTCCATGACTATCTTTTCACAGTGAAACCTTTAGTTTACCTTTACAAGGAAGCACAGATACTTTATGAACAAGACAAAACTAACCCAAGGTACAAAGGAAATAAAAACCATGGCTTTCTGAAAGCCAGTTTAGTGTCCTAGTCTAGAAGAGCTATTAATAACAAAAGCTATCAACTACCTAATCTTCCTAATTACTATTTTATGTAGTATCTTCTCCATCTTTTAAATGAATATATAAACAATGAAAACTAGAACCAGAATTAGTGCTACTTGTAACAGAAAGGGAAAAAATGTCTTCCTAAGTGGCATAATTTCCAGCAAAATGCTTGCTACTTCCAATGCGTAACAATATAAATTCAGAGCACAGTGGTTAATTATTCAGTTCATAGTGTGCAGCATTCTCTTCCTAACCAACAGTTTCTCCCAGACTATGAGCAAAGTTTCTAAACACTGGTCTTCAGATCATCTTTCTTCCTTTTTAGCATCATCTATATAACTAAAAGCATGTCCGATATGATCTCTGAATCTCTCGCCACTCTAATAAAACTATACTTCTATAGCTTTTTTATTTTTGCAATGCTAGGGGTCAAACCCATGATCTCATGCATTCGAGGCAAGCACTATACCACGGAGGTAAATCTCCTTCCCTATAGCTTTTGTTGTGGTTTCTTCCTAATCTTTGACCTAAAAAAATAAGGAATACTAAAAAGAACTAAATGAGTAAATACTGAGTTAACTTGGTAACTTTCATCTCAAGCCTTAGAATGCCTTCAAAAATGCTTCGGTGTGAACAATTGTTTCCTCAATGACTCATGGGGACAGTACTGTCTTTCAATGCTTTTACATTTCTTAGGCAGTTACCATTCCAAAAGCCATCAGTTTTCTTCTAATAGAAGCCTCCAAAACAAAATCATTGTGACTAAATATAGTGATAGATGTAAGCAGTAAAACTGTAAAAATTATGAACAGCTTTACAGAAGAAAACCTGATTTTCATCATACAGTCGTTCCAGCCAAACAGAGTAATAATGCAAAACTATGCTTAATATAAATGACATACGCCTTAGGAAAGGCAGTTGTCAAATGAGCAAGTAATGAAAACAATGCACAAAGCACAGGAATCCTTCATCAACATGTTGCAAATGCCCACACTAACAGCACCAAATAGTCCTTGGGAACTGCAGAGTAACAGATTTGTAACATAAACTACAGGTGCAACACTGCAAAAAAATGTATTAAAAGTCCTAATAAATCTATAAAACGGGAATAATAAAAGCAGTTCTTTTTATTTTACCATCCACTCAACCCTATCTTTTTCAGAACTGCTGCTCACAGTGCCCCTGAGGAGCTGTGGGACCAGGATAAAGGCAAGCACTACCCCCAGGGAGCTAGCAGGAAGCTCTGTGACAGGCACAACTAATACCTGCAAATAGAGGCCTAACCTAAAGACAGTGCCTTATTCTTCCAGCTCCAAAGGGTTTAGGCTTGCAAAGGACTTCCAAAGATTTTCCTTTTATGGGCCACATCTCCATTTAACCCATCCTTTCAAAAAAGCAAGGATATGTTTTGCTCAGCAATGTGAATATTAGTTTGATTTTACCATGCAATTCATGGAAATTGGTATTTTCAGCCAGCACAAACACAGACACAAAAATTTCTTTTTAAAAAAAAAGAAAGATGAGAAGTGTGTGTATGTGTGTGTAAAATAATTACCTCCATTTAACCAACACTGCTTTTTTAACTGCAAATTTCTTTCTAGAAATAAACTTCAAACTCAATTTCAAAATGAAAGTAGAAAAAATTTTTTGATCACAAGTTCACAGCAATCTTAGTGCTATCTACAGTTAATAATGAAAACAAGTCTAAAATTTTAAATCCTAACTTACTGATGTTAAAACTTTTCATTTAATATTTTTCAAAAACTAATGGCACATGCAAGTAAGTAAGCAGGACATTAAGGCAGAAGAATCACCAGTTTGAGCTAGGCTGAGCAACTTAGATCTCATCTCAAAAAAGCTGAAATAAAAAAACAAAAGAAAACAAATAGTCTAGCGTAAAATTAGGCCATGTAGAAAACAATGATGGCCTTTACTAAACATTCCTAGAAAAGACTTAAATACTAAGTCACATAAAAACAAGAATATCAATTTCTTGAAGTACCTTTATATTAGATTTTAATTAATGTATGTAAATGTATCAATTTTAAGTCTAACATTTTATAAACAAGCTAATCAGTATGTAATAATGGCAAGAAGCTGCTGCTACCTGATAAATAAAATTGTAAATGTAATGACATAAAAAAGGAAAGCTAAAAGAAATTTTAGAGCCCTCGGTAGCTTCTTGACCAATAAATCATTAGTTTCACAGTTCAGATAAGCTTAAAAATGGAAATAGAAACCTCAGAGTAAACAGCTACTATGTAAGTCACCATGAAAAGTTTTGGAAATATTTTTCTCTACTTTTTACTGGCCTTTTAAGAAGGTTAGGAGTAGAAAACTACTCTAGCTAAAAGGTCTGATAACTAATAATCTATGAAATCAAGAGACAGGAATAGCTGTCTTGGGCTTTTTTCTGTGTAGCTCCAAGCACAATCATCGCTTACAACTTTCCATTTTTAGAACATTCTTAGAAACAGAATGTCCCTTATCTGAACTTTATCAGATCATGTTGGAAATCTACTTTTCAGATAAATTTAAAATGTGGGTTTTTTTTTTAATAAAATATGGACACCTCACTCCTTTAAAGACAGGGAAGCGCTATTCATGCTTACTCAGAAAGATGTCAAAGAAAACTTCTGATAAATCATGAATAAAATATTTCCCCAACATATACAGCACAACTGAGATTTATTTCTAATCAAAAGCATTAAAACCTCCTGCTGGACAGTCATCTTTCTTATTTCAATACAGACAGACTTGGGAGTAGCTTTAGATAATATAGCCAGGCATGGTAGTGTACCTAATAATCCTAGGGGAAGCTAAGGCACAAGGATCTCCCCAAGTTCAAGGCCAAGCTGGGCTACTTAGTGAGTTCAAGGTCAGCCTGCACTGCATAGCAAGACCTTGTCTCAAAAAACCGTAAGAAAAAAGAAAAAAAAGATAAAAATATACCTAAAAGTATGCCAAAGATCTTTTTTAGAATTCTCACATGAGAAGTTTTTAGTTCTGCATGCATGTACAACCATGTAAAGATATTTGTATTTTACAAAGCAAACATAGCAGTCTTAAATTCCCTGAGTGATAACCTCATTACGAATTTTGGCAGAAATGAAAGGAACACCAGGTTAATTCAACTACGGAGAAAAACCTCACAAAGTTTTGAGTTTTTTAAAAATGCTGGCTCAATAGAACCTGTTTCAATACAATAGTACAAAACAGTACCTTTCTCAAAATTGGCTCAAAGAGCAACAGTAAAAAGAGAAAGAAGGAAAAAAAAGCATACAATGGTTTACTCAAACCAACTGCCGGGGGCTGGGGATTTAGCTCAGTGGCAAAAGCGCCTGCCTGGCAAGCGCAAGGTCGTGAGTTCGGTTCCCAGTACCGGAGAAAAACCCAAAAAAAAAAAAAAAAAAAAAAAAAATCAAACCAACTGCCTTTCATACCAAGGGTACATTTGGTCCTATACTATGAACAATTTTTAAATGTTCTTCCATCTTTTATGTTTAATCCAGGTTTTATAAACTGATCCCTCAAATTTGGTAGCAGCTGAAAACAATTAAAACAATTTTTCTTTTCATGATGAAAGTGTATTTTGAAAATGATACGCATCTTCAAGTTCTATTTTTTTTTTTAGTCCATTCTTCAAATCCAGGATATATATTCAATGCTGATGTTAGAGATTACCTGCTACCCTGTAACAGAATAATAAAACCCAAGTTGACAAAATTTTAGCATTGAAGTTGGTTTAACTATACCATCTTCCTCATGAATAGCGCTTCTCTGTTTAGGAAAAACTTCACTCTGAATTATGCCTACTCACATGAAAAACTGGGAACCATTGGTATGTTTCCCTCGATTTGCCATTGACAAAAGGAACGCTCTGTCATGTTTGAGAATAAAGTTTTCATCTGTTTGAAGAAAACACAAATTTGTCAGTTTCCAATTATAAGCCACTTCTAAAGTAATGTTTATGTAGTAAATAGAAAGCAAAGGATGAAATTTCTCTTCTGGTCAGTACAGATACTTGACAATATTTAGAAAAAAATTTTTAACTAATCAAATAACAAGAGTACAAAAGGCCAAAGGATACTAATTAAAGCCTTAAAGAAAAGAACATGTATTTAATACTTTATACAAACAGCCTTAGAATAGTCACTTTTAGTAGTAACATTTTTTGATTAAATGATATATAAACTATCAACTCTCAGGGTAAACTAGAAAGGTTTTTTAGAAAAATCCCTATAGTAAAGCTTATTTCTTCCAAATTTTTCAATTAGTCTGACAGATGCACTACACATGTGTGGACTTTGACACTCCTTATGTGCTTTGTTCTCAGGTGGTAAATTTATTACTCAATTGAACTGATGAAGTAGACTGTGAGAGCAGAAAGCACATCAGCTTTAGGGATCTGTCTAAATTAAGTACATGGGGGATAACAAGGAAGAAAATTTTATAAAAATAAAATGTAAAGAAAATACAATTTTAAGGTACAAAAGTATCATCGCAGGGAACAACTCCATTAAAGTGGGCTCTAACATTAAGTTCAAATTGCTAAATACTAATACAGTCAGCTAAACAGCTGCTTCCTACTAGTTCAAAGAAAAACTGTTATAAAAATCACCTGGAGATTATTTTAATTCCAGCAGAAATATCCTTAAAATTAACCAAAATTTCCTGTTAATATTCATACAAGCAAATCCTTCTTTAAAACAAACAGAAACATAGAAAACTTTAAAAAATGATTACCTTGGGAACAGCCTTCTGAAAAAGAGTAGTAATCCATTTTCTCCCAAAGGAAATATAAAAGACTATTATAACACTGAAGCTTTTTAAGTATTAAAACCTAGCAATACCGGATCCCATTATAAATCTCTGCAACTGACTTTTCTAAGGCTTTTTGGGGATAGTGCAATAGTTAGATTAATGCAAATGCTATGACTGTAGGAATAAAACACAACCATATAGTTCCAGTACACAAAAGAAAACATACAAACCTTTGAGAAAGGAGAAAATACCAACTTCTACTCAAAGAAATTGTGTGGTTTAGGGGGAAGAACACAACTAGATTCTTTATCCTCGTGTAGAATTAATTACTCATTGGGAAAAGAAAAAATATACAGATGCACGTATGAAGTAACAAAGAATTTCCCAAGTCTTCAAGCAATACAGAAATCCAGACATAACCTGACTCAGACTGTCCATAAATTCATTAGGAAGGGTGCAAGGAAACAGAATTGGAGTTTGTGTTACTGAGCTTTGTTCTCTTACCTTTTCATTTTGCAAAAGACCACATTCTCTATAAACAAAAGAATATGTTGACAGTTTTAGGCAGGAAGATAGGAGTTTTCATGTATAAAGTTGCCTAACCTCCATGCTGAAAGTCATGTTTAACCATAAACTTAGCCTTAATTAATCTTGTCAATTTAAAGTTACATATAACATATAATTTATCCCCAAATTCATGCAAATAAAGTACTTTCATGCAAGCATTAGTTTCATGCAAAAAGTGAACTATAAGTAAACTTCTTGTCATTAAAAGTATATGACCAAACTTGCTTTAATAACAGAACTGAAAGAAAAGAACATAAAATACTAGGCCTTACCTTTAAAATATCCACCATAAATGGATTCTCCACCTTTTCCATTACCTGAAAATGAGTTACATTAAGTCACAATAGAAATGAAAAATACAGTAATTAATACATACAAATTATTTGGATGGTTTCAATTTGCTAAAGGAAACTTTGAGCCTTGCAACTGCTATAAATGATCATAATTCCGAATCCCCAATTAACTTCATCTTTAAAATATTACAACAAATGCTATCAAAAAATGATCTCCCTGACACATTTATTTGAAGCAGTACCACATCAACAAAATTATAGAATAAATGCAACTGGACAGAACTTTGGCATTCATTATTAGGCAATTCAGCAAGTAATTATATGATAATCCTATAATAAATTATAAACAAGCAAAATAAAATGTCACAGTATTTTACTTTTTCATACATTCTTGATCTAAAACATTCATCAAACTATGCGACTACATATGTCTACCACTGTGTGATGTAATATTTACAATTAATAGTAATAATGAGACACTGACAGAGCATTATTAGGAATATAACTTTTAGCTCTACCTTCACTGAAGTCCCCACCCTGAATCATAAAGTTTTTAACCACACGATGGAATGTAGAACCTTTATAACATAACTTCTTTCCAGTTGTTTTCCCAAGGCCTTTCTCCCCTGGGGGAAAAAAAAAAACAAATATGCTACAAACCCATCTTTTATAGAAAGAACTTCCTAATTGCTGGCATCTGTATGAGATCTAAAAATCAGAGTAAATGTAAATCAACATGCGTGCGCGCGTGCGCGCGCGCGCGCACGCGCGCGCACACACACACACACACACACACACACACACAAATCAGGAAGTAAAGCCACACAGCACCGGAGTGTGGAGTGGTATGGTACAGACTCTACATGCTACAGATGGTACGTTTGCTTCTGTAAAGAATATAATCAAAGAAACTGGTGCAAAAATTGGGGGAGGGGTGTAATGTATATTCAAGTATTGGCTTTAAACTATTAGTCTGCTATTTCTAATTTTAAACTAAGCCTATCTCCATTTTTTCTACTTATTCACAATGTAAAATCAATTACACATAATGAAAAATTTCCTTTTGTTTTGCCTCTCCACCTTTTAGGCCTAAATTTCTTGTGCAATATACAGATGCTATATCTGTTGACAGTACTGAAATTTGTAAAATTCTACGAAGACCAATCAATTTTGAATATGTCTATTTTTTTTTTTTTTTTTTTTGGTTTTTTTGGTTTTTCTCCGGTACCGGGAACCGAACTCACGACCTTGCGCTTGCCAGGCAGGCGCTTTTTGCCGCTGAGCTAAATCCCCAGCCCCATGTCTATTATTTTATAAACTACAATGTAGAGAGAAGATTTCATTATATGAAGTAGTCTTACTTTTTTTTTCATTTTTAAGGCTATTTTCTTTTTTCCTAAAGAGATGATTATTTAATTTCATATAACAGAGTAAAAAACATTTCTTATTACAAACAGTTCACCGACCTTTGTTTTTTAAGGAAAGTATCTACTCTGTTAAACCAAGGTAAAACTGTAAGCCTAACTTTTTATTGGAAATAATTTTAAAATTCACTTACCTGAGCATAGGCAAAGGAAGTTTTTACATGTTTTTGGACATATGTCTGAGAAGAGCTGAAACATAATGCGACCAACTGAAATAAAACACACAGGGTGGGGAGGAATAAGCAAGGTGAGGAAATATAACACGTGTCCTATGTGAGAAAGAAAACACAAACAGAATAAACTGGAAGATGCTGCACCCCTCCAGGAATGACTGCACATCACACCTTAAGACAGACTGTTCCAGCCAATCCTGGCAAAAAGCAAAAAGCTCTGCTGTACTCTATTTCCAGCCTTCTTCCTTTATGTAGGAGCTGTCTGGAGCCAACTTCCCGAATTACATCACCCACACTGAACACTATTCTGTTCCCTCGGAGGGCAGAAAAGAGAAAGACAGAATAACCTAGCTGGTTCAGTGGCACAGCCTCTAATTCCAACTTCTCCAGCGGCTGTAGCACTAGGACCGCAGGTTGAGTCCAACCTCGGCACTCTGAAAGATCCCGTCTCCAAAGCATGGGATGTGGAGGTAGCTCGAAAATACCTCTAACTTGGTGGCAATATTTCTCTCATGAGGCAAGGCTCAGAGTAGAGGTTTTGTCTCTTCTATGACACTGGCTTGAGTTAAGACCAAAACAAAAAAACACATAAAAATAAAGCTGAATTGGTTTGGCCTCAATTCCATCCCAAAAGGTTGAAGGCACTGGCACAACCAGGAAAAAAATGCCCTGGAAAGGACAGGCGAACCCGGTCAGGCCCAGAGCATAATAAAGGCTGAACTACGAATATTCAGACATTGGTTAAGACTGCTTTCTTGCTGGATGTGGTAGCACACTCTTGTAATCCTAGCACTCCAGAGGCTGAGGCAGGAGGATCACCGTGAGTTCAGGCCCACCCTGGGCTACACAGTGTATTCAAGCTCAGCCTGGAATACACAGCAAGACTCTGTCTCAAAAAAGACAGCTTTCTTCATTTGTCTATTTCGGCAATGCTGGGAGTTGAACCAGACCCTCATGCTGAGCATGTACTCTGCTACTGAGATATATCCCCCTCCTTTTTAAATATATGAATATATATATGCAATATGAAGAATTTAAAAACAAAAGGCAAGATCTGGTGGTGCACACCTGTAATCCTAGCACTCCAGAGGGTGAGGCAGGAGGATCCCAAGTTTGAAGCCAGCCTGGACTATGGAGCAAGTCATTATATAGATATTTTAATGACTGTTTAACAACTGTTCAGACTTTTGCCCCACCCCTCAGACTTACGACCCACACTCAGACTTACGATGCAGTAAGCGCAGTGTGGCCTAACTGTGGCCTCTTCTACAGCAAGCCCTGCACGTTTTGCTGATGGTGCCCACACTACAGGACTGTTGTTTTATGTTGTTATACATCACAGTCTTGCATGTAAGAGCTACGTAAATAAAAGCACAGTCACCAGGTCAGTGTCTCCTCTGACCTTCTCTTTGTTCTGACTAGCGCAGTGCACACACCATGCACAATTCCTCATTGGGCGATCACTTCAGTTAATGACTACTTGCACAATGCAACTTTGTTTGTTTTGTTTTTGTTTTTGTTTTGTTTTTTTCCGGTACTGGGAATCAAACTCACAACCTTGTGCTTGCCAGGCAGGAGCTGTGCCGCTGAGCTAAATCCCCAGCCCCTGCAACTTGATTATTAAAAGAGGAAAGTGTCTGCAATAATTAACAAATGAAAATAAAAACAAAAAGCAAGGTCAAAATTCATCAAAAAAGAAGAAACAGAAATATTTTAAGTTCTCCTTATGAAAAGGTAACCTGGTATTAATTCTCCCAAAGTAAAACCAAATACTGAAACTGAACACTATAGGATATATATCATCAAGTATTAGCTTAAACTCATCTCACTGGTAAAGCAAACAGCAGATTTTCAACATTTTAAGTGAATTACATTATTTTAAAGAAAACGGCTCCCAGTCCTCTTTTGTAGGGCATGGTGGCACAGGCCTATAATCCCAGCACTCAGGAGGCTGAGGCAGGAAGACGGCATGAGCTACACAGTAAGACTTTTCAAAAGAAAGAAGGAAAGAAAGAAAATTAATTTTGGTACTTTTATTTTTAAAACTCAAAATAGAAGATATTCTGAAGGTGTATTCCTTAAAGAGAAAATCAATCAGCAGTAGTGTAGTTATTTTCAGTAACAAGAGGCATAAACTCTGATTATGAAAAAACCTGTAGTTACAGTAAGAAAAAGGTCAGGGTGAATGTGCAAAAGAGATTCTCACTATGCAGTTCAGACTGGCCTTGAACTTGCAGCAATCCTACTGCCTCATTTAATAGCTTTTTTGAATGAATAAGATCTAAGGAAAATCTGTTACTCAACAAGCATTACTTATAATTTAATGACATTTAGTAATCCTTCAGAATCTGTTAATACTATTCATAATATTCTATTTCTTCTTCAGAATTACTCACTACTCTAATAAATACATAGCCTTATAATGGTAAATCTAACACTGATTCCTGCAAGCATTAGCACTGTGCTTTTAGTGGGGAAAAAAAAATACATGGCTAAAGATAAAAATGACACCATGTAGAACTGGTTTCTACACTAATCCCAAAATATGAACATGCAGATCCTTAAAAATAGAGAAGACCAACATCAGATACCTTATATTAGAAACTGGAGACAACAGAGCACTATCTTCTTAAAAGGAATAATATACTATGAACGACAAATTGTATGCCTAGCAAAGGAAATACAATAAATAGCTTTTACTCTCAAGGATCTATTTGAAGCACTGGTGACTGAATCCATTATAATGTCAGATTAAACCTAAGTAACTATGGTAACTATGGTTGTAAATAAAAGGTAAATACTATAAGTATTAGGAAACAAATTTATATAATAGGAAAAATTTTCTTTTATATTTGTACACCTAAACTATTCTAATGATTGAAAAATCAAACAGTGGAAAGGGTACAGAATGAGAAGTCCTGTTCCAATTCCTAAGGACAGGTACTCACTATCACTAATTTCCCCTGTATTTCTCCAGTTTCTTCTCATACACAAGAAGACACTGATATAGTCTTTGTTGTCTTCCCTTTTTTAAAGATAGTATATTGCACTAAACCCTGTCATTCACTTAGTAATACATCATAAAGAACCTGCCATGTTTCAACGCGAAAATAATGTACATGGGAAGGCGGAAGTAAGGAATTACATTATCAGTAAAAAACAGAGAAGGCTGAATTGGTGACAGAAACTACCTATCCTCATATTTCTCAGTGAGAATCAAAAGGTAGCCTTTGCTGAAGTAGATACAGGTAGTAGGGTATAAGCATACTTAAATGTGTTATTACCCACAGAATGAAATGTACTTTCCAGTTTCTGTGGTAGAAAGGGAAGCAACTCATGGTAAAATACAGACAAAAATGAAATAACAAGAAAACATAAACAAAGCTCAATAGACAAAATAATAGCAGGGCTGGGCGTGGTGGTGCATGCCTATACTCCCAGCACTTAGGCTAAGGTAGGAGGATCTCTAGAGCTTAAGGTCAGCCTGAATTGCCTACAGAGACCCTGTCTAAAAAACAAACATACAAAAAGACAAGACCAAAACAGCTCTACAGTTAGCCACAGAAGTGTTTTTATGATGTCAATCAGCAGCCACTTAAAAGTGTCCTGCAGATAGTACAACATTCAAAAGAGAATTTACTTATTGGCTTCTGCAGTTAGCAGACAAGGATATGGGCACAGTTAAGAGAATCAAAGAGCCAGGGTATCAGGGGAATGCAACCAGATGTCAGAGGGTCCAGGTATCAGTTGAATGCTGACCCTTACTTCTTTGTCTTAGTCAGTGCACACAACCCTAAGTATTTATAATAGTGAAAAAGACACAGAGAAATCAATCATTCAACTCAAGGAAATAAAAAGAGGAATGCCAAAATTTGAGAAAAGAATTGTAAGAAAACAGAGATGACAATTATGTGTGGTATAGACTGCAAAGCAGACTAAAAAGCAAGCTAAAATGCCATTAATTAATTACCCAAAGGTAATTTATCATAGCTAAATCTTGGAAATAACCCAAATGCCTATCAACTGAGGAACGGATAAAAAAGATGTGGTATTTTTATATAATGGAGTATTACTCAGCTATTAAAAAAGCTAAACTTGAGCCTTTTATAGAGGTAAATGGGTGCAACTAGAGACCATACTCATAAGTGAAATAAATCAGACTTGCACATGTAAACAACGTATTGTCTCCTACTGTGAGAAGCTGAAATGTAAACACAACCTGAAAGGTACAACAGATATTGTGAAAGGGAAAGAAACTGCTCAAAGGGAAGGAAAAACTGGGATGAAGGAAAGGAGAAAAGAAAAAAGGAAGGAAAGAAAAAGTAGAGCATGGTGGTGCATGCCAGTAATCCCAGCACTTGAGAGGCTGAGGCAGAAGGATCATTGAGTTTGAGACCCGCCTAGGCTACAAAGTGAATTCAAGGCCAGCCTGAACTGCATAGTGAAACGGTGTCTCAAAAGGACCAAAAAAACAAAAGGGGAAAAAAAAAATGTATGTATATACAAGGATAGCTGGGATAATTGTACTGCTGATGTCTACTGGTTTGTTGAAAGGAACAGTTAATGCTTAAATTTTTTTGATCAATTTTGCACGCTTGTATCCGGTAATTTGAACAACTAATTTGAAGACAACAACATGCAATATAACAGCCATCATTGAATGCCTACCTTTTTTTTTGAGACAGGGTCTCCTATGTAGTTCCTTGAGCTCACTTTGTAGACCAGACTGGTCTCAAACTTGTAACGATCTTCCTACCTCAGCCTCCCAAGTGCTGGGATTACAGGCATGCACCACCATGGCCAGTGTCCTACTATCTTGTTTAGTGAAGCTCTGTATTGTTTCTACTTTTTAAAATTTTTTAAATTCTCTTTAATTGTTTGATCAATCTTGCATTCTTACATCTGGTAATCTGAGCAACTTCCTTTAAGATAACAATATGTTAAAAAAAATGTAATATAACAACCACTGTTAATTTCCTATCATCTTGTTTTGAAATTCTGTATCATTTTTACGTTGTTTTGTTTTTGTCCTTGTT